TACATATGAACCAAATATGTATGGTAGTAATTGATTATCAAGGGAAATGCGAGGCTAATCAAGTTAGAAGGGGTTTTAATAGAATATTGTAAATAAGTCCCATGAATTAAGGATTAAAAATAATTTTTATAAATAATTGAGGTTAAGTTAAGGATAAAAAGTGTACCCAAAAGCCGACACTATAAATACGATGGTGGGGTAATTCTGTGTGAACTCAATTGAGGTTTTCTGTGTGATCAATTGAGAATAATTCTGTGTGAACTCAATTGAGGTTTTCTGTGTGATCAATTGAGAATAGTTCTGTGTGAGCTTTTTCTGTGTGAACTCAATTGAGGTATTCTGTGTGATCAATTGAGAATAGTTCTGTGTGAACTTTCAAAAACAATTCTGTGTGAGGGTACCCAAGAAAAATCATGATTAAAAAAATTTTTATTAAAAATAATATTTGCTGGACAAATATGAGAAAATTACAGGAAAGAGATAAATCAAATATGGAAACACATCCCAACCTTGGGTTGGAAAATTTTATGGAATATAAATTTATTTGTACAAACCTGTAAACTACCATACTCAGTAATGAACAAATGAGGTAAAGGCAAGCCCAGTATAGGTCAAATAAAATATAAAAGAAGGATAAAAAGTAAAAGATGTGAAAATTTTTAGAGAATTTTATTAAAATGGAATGGTACCATGTTTGGAACGCTGAATATATAAACCATAAACAAGAACATGACCTAGGAGTGATAGAACCAGAGGAATGTTTAGCATGTGAAATATGTAACCCAATAGAAAGAGAAGTATCAGCGGCATTCAAGAAATTTTGGGATGCTTTGTTTAAATTCGAGGATACAATACTAATGTACAATAATGTTACACATAAAGAATTATTGAATTTATTAAGTATGGACAATAGAGAAAGGGAGGATACAATACATAAAGGAAAATGTAGGAATATAGTAGATAGAATAATTGAATCAATAAGGTACAGACAACAACCAAAAATGAAAGAAAAAGGTTTAAGGATAATAATTGTAGTAATTGTAAGGGATTGTATTGAAGGATATTTAGAAAATGAAGTATTTGACCGTTTAATTGGATGTCCAGAAATAATGGAACATGGATACATTTTAGAAGATTGGGATGTTGAAAATAGATTTCAAAAATTTTGGGATTGGTATAACACGATATTGGAAAATGAAATGAAAGCAATACATGTTAAGAAGTTAGCAATAAAGTTATTCAGGGATTTATTATATGAAGAAACAGAAGATCTGTTGAGGAGTGAAAAGGTAGTTGAATTAATACTCCAGATAGAACACCAGAATAGATGTGAGGCATTCACTCAAGAAGGAAAGGATGCATGGAAGAGATTGATACAGAAAGTAAGTCAAAGATTTATTGACACCAAACAATTTACAAGGGAACCTGAGGACCCAGAAAGTGATAGTCCTGAAAGTTATGAATTAGAGGACAGTGATGGTAGTATACATTATGAAATAAAAATAGAGGATGATGTCGAATGGACAGTGGAATCATTAAAAAGAAAAATTGAAGAAATGGGTGGAAGGTTCACCGACAAAGATATACAAAGAATGTGGGACCT